TTTTTGAAGATAAGCGAGTTGTGCTAGCTCCTCACCCCACTTTCTATGAACAGGAATTTTCTGTAAAACATGCATAGTATATTCATTCATTTCCCAAGGTTTTTTTAAGGGGTCATTTTGCAAATAGCCAGTTGTATAATGAATATTTTCATGTTGTCCAGCTAGAAGAACTAGGAATATGGAGAAGGAAAACAGAGAAGATTCCATGATTTAGTCAATTTAAGATTATCTGTGATCTTAGTTTAAGATCATCTATAATCTTGGTTCTACCAGCAGTTGGCACCTGATCTGGACTAAACATGTTGTTCAGTTGCTAAGTCGTGTTCACATGTACCATAGGATAGCAAGATATAATATACCAGTACAGGCTTTCATGGCTGGCATCAATTAAGCAATCACAACAAAAGAAAACTAGACCATGGCCATTCAACTCAAAAGGCCATACTACTTCATAACAGATGAAGCTCAGATTCTAAGGATAAGACAAATAAATAAATCACCAAAGTATCTGATTTCCAGGTACTTGTAGTATAAAGGTAAGATGCAGAGATTTCAGATATTTTGAGTAACTCTTTTTAAAAGGTGAGAGTGTTTCTAGAAAGATTTAAAGAAGAATTGGATGAGATTCAAATTGAGATGTCAGAAGAGACTACGTAAAGATCATAACAGAATTCTGAAAAAAATGACACTAATTGGATGCTACAGGTATTAACTTTTCTAAATTGTTGACTTGGTCATGGATTACAAATGCTTAACATGGAACATGAATAGAGCAAATGCTTCTCAAGAGAGAGAAAAAATATTTCATTATTTGAAAAAATTAAAACAAGATATTATTAGCCTACAAGAGACTCATGAGAAAGGATATAAAATATTTAATTTATTAAAAAAAATTGGAAAAAGAATTTAACACACCAAATGAAGTTGTTTTGGTATATAAATCCCCAACTAAAATCAGAACTTGTACTGACTGATAAGCAAGAACAGATGTATTGGGATGGAAATGCCATGATAGACCATGGTGCTGGGAGGGGAAAGTGGAGCTCTACAAGCAACCTATGTAGAGGCTGATAGGATTTTCTTTATGAAAATCTGGCATTTGATGGGGATTGGAATGGAATGATTTCTGCAACTAGATACAATTTCTGGGACAAATATTAAAACTAGTTATGGTTAAAAAAATAGTCTGGTTGATATATGGAAATAAAAAATGGCAGTTCAAGAAAGTATATCTATTTTTCAGAAAGACATAGATTTATCAATAATAGATATGATTAGGATTTAAAAGAATTTTGCTATTAAAATATATAAAACAGAGTTATTACCAAATAACTTTTCAGATCATAACTGTTTGCTTTATAAAAGAAAACCTAGTTCTTTTTGACTTAGATTAAATGAAATATTGTTACAGAAAGAAGTAATAGTGGAGAATTGTTAAAAGAAAATATTTTTTGAATTTAATTTAAAGCACTGAGTTAAAAATGGTTTGGAGCACAAATAAAGCTTTTAGCAGAAGTTAGTTTATATAACATAATATTGAACGTCTGCCAGATATGCTACATAGCATGGGAAGATCTAATGCTAAATATTGAACTTGAAGAGGCAAGAGAAAACACAAAGTATTTTGGATGAGATAAAAAGAATTCAAAAAATCTCCAGGGAAGATAAGTATCTCCCAACAAATTAAGCTTTTACAGCAACAGCTATCTGTGTTCATAAGATAAATGGCAATAAAAATGAACTATGTAAAACAAAAATCATTTTGAATGTGTGAATAATTCAGTGAAATGGCTGGCATTTAAACTATGAAAAGAAAGAGAAAAGAAAATGATAACAGAATTTCAAGAGGAAAATTCTGTATTAAGGGATAATATTGTTGTGCAAAAGCGTTTAATCAGTTTTATTCTAAATTGCATAAAGGATACAACATTTCTTTAGAGAAAAAAGATGAATATCTTGAAAAACAAAATCTACCAAGGATTTAAGAGCAAAGTGTACAGTTATGATAATAAGGCAAGTTTCAGCAGCTTTGTATATATAAACAAAGATTAAATCAGGACAGTTCCCTAACCAGATGGATTATTGGCTTTGTAGTGTATTGAGAAGAAACTTTTCAACCTCTAATAATTCTATCTTACAGGCAGAGATGTCAGACATTTTGAAAGAGACTGACGTAGCAGTAACACATAAAGAGGTACAAGACTGGACCCTAACAAGAAACTCTAGAACAGGGGTTTCTAACCTTGGCAACTTTAAGTCTTGTGGGCTTTTGGCTGGAGAATTCTGGTAGTTGAAGTCCACAAGTCTTAACATTGCCAAGACTGGACACCACTGCTTTGCACCAATATCACTATTGAATAATGACTATAAGTTGTTCACAATGTCTATAGCTGAAGGACTGAACATAATTTTCAAGAACTTATTCATGGGGATCAAGTGCGGTTTGTTTTTTTTTCTAAAGACAGTTAAGGAGAAATGTTAGAATCGTGTTGGACATTTTGGAATATTTGGAACAAAACAATGAAAAACAAGGTGCATGATTTCTTTAGATGCAGAGAGGGCCTTTGCCAATTTGAACTTTTCTGTTTAAAGTTTTGGAAGAATGAATGAATTTTGGAGAAATGTTTATAAAATGAATGCAATTAATTTATACTTCATAGAAAACACAAATAACTGTTAATAGAAATCTAACAAACTATGTGAGATACAAAAAGGAACAAAACAAGTCTGCTCACTGTCCCCTCTCCTGTTTATTTTGGTTCTTAAAATACTAAATAGAGACAAAACATGACAAAAGGATTGTGAGAATAAGATGACAAGCTGAGGACCAGTAGATCACTTGATGCTGGTTCTGGATGATCCTTTAAAACAGGGGTGTCAAACTCCTGGCCCATGGGCCGGAGGTGTCACGAGCTGGCCACACCCATGCTGGGTTTAGCAGTCCCGATATGTCACATGATTATGTGAGTTTGACATCCCTGCTTTAAAGGGAATTGTAATATTAATTGTATTAATTAATACAATTGTTATTGCTGGGGACAAATATATGTGATTGAATGTAATTTTTGTTTCAGACAAAAATTGTTTTGACAACTAATGCACCACTTAAATAATCCCAGAAGGATATATCTAAATGTGTATGGCAGTAGAAAAAAAGTATGAACTAATTATAAGGTGATACAAGATGCAAAGGAAAGAGGAGGATTAGAGTCATCTGATTTAAAATTGTATTTTGCAGCTTGTTTGGATGACAAAATGGATGTTGCTGAAAAACAGCAGTGTTTCTTTTAAAAGGACATGATCTGAGATTTTGGTGGTATAGATATTTGTGGTACAACAAAGCTAAGATTAATGTAGATTTTAATGTAAATTATGATGTCAGGCATGCCATATTAAGAATATGGAATCGATGCAAATTCAGGCTGTATCCTAAAATACCCTTGGAGCTCTCACACAACAAGCATTTTCTATATGAGAGATGCTAAAGTTTTGAAATTTGTCAAGGGAAATATAAAATAAAATCAAGAGAACACCTGGTAGCAGGGGGCATATGGTACTTGTTACTGTTTTTTCAATTTGCAACTATTAGAAAGGTTTAAAATAGACAGAATAATTTATGGTTTTGAACATTGTCAGACTTAGTTTCAAACAGAACTGTCTACAAGTGATGAACATATAATTGCCAAAACATACCTTTATTAAAATTTGAAACAGAACAAGTAAAATAATGTATCTATTCAGGGGTGGGATTCAAGTTTCTTAACAACCAGTTATGTGGGTGTGGCCTAATTTGTGGGTGTGGCATGGTGGTGACTGGGGGTGGGAGTGGCTTGCTGACTGGGCGTGGCTATGTGACTGGGGTGGGCATGGCCATGTGGCCATGTAACTGGCAAACCAAATGTAAGTGGTACTCATTTAATGACCAGGTTCTCGCTTAATGGCCAGTTGCTTAGCAAGTGTTTTTTGCCAGTTTCCAAGGCCTGGGGAGCCCTGGAGAGGGCAGGGCGAGGCCCTGGCAGATGGCCATGTGACTGGCAAATAAAATGTAAGTGGTCCTGACTTAATGACCATGTCCTCGCTTAATGGCCAGTTGCTTAGTAAGTGTTCTAATTTATGACTGACCTCCACAGAGCTACTTGGCCTATTTTTGGTGTTTTGACAGCCCACCCCCCGCCATCCTTCTAACCCTGCTATTCTTTGATTCTGTAAGGGTCTCCTGCTGGAGCAGGGGGTTGGACTAGATGACCTCTGAGACACCTTGCAGGCCAGCCCTAGATTGCTGTGCTGCTTCAAAGTCTTCTGAAGCCAGGGTTTATGTCCTTCCTTCATCTCCTTTTTTTCCTCTCTCCTTCCCTCCCTCCTTCCATGTATTTATCTATCCATTCATATATCTCATTTACTTTCTCCTCTCTTTCTTTCTTTCTTTCTTTCTTTCTTTCTTTCTTTCTTTCTTTCTTTCTTTCTTTCTTTCTTTCTTCCTTCCTTCTTTCCTTCCTTCCTTCCTTCCTTCCTTCCTTCCTTCCTTTCTTTCTTTCTTTCTTTCTTTCTTTCTTTCTTTCTTTCTTTCTTTCTTTCTTTCTTTCTTTCTTTTTTTCTGCCCCTTCCTTTCACTTCCTTTCTCTCTCCCTTTTTCTTTATTTCCCCTTTCTCTTTCTTTTCTTTCTTGTATCTTCCTTCTTTCTTTCTCTCTCTTTCTCTCTCCCCCCTCTCTCTTTTCCTCTCTTTCTCTTTCTGTATCCCCCTGTCTCTCTCTCTCTTTTTGTCCCTTCCTCCTTCCCTCTCTCCTTCTAAAGCTAGGAAGCCCACCTGAAACATACACATACACACACACACAGAGATGTGGGATTCTCCCAGTTTTGCCCTGTTCTATTGTACTCTGCCTATCAGAGAATAAGCTTGCAGGCAGGGACTTTGCTTTTTAATCTTTGTGCAGTTTTTTTAAAAAAATATACAGAAACAAATGAGACAGCTTAGAAACAAGACGATGTTCAGAGCAACCCCAGTTCTACAGTATCGTAGAATAAGAGCAGCCCAGAAGAAAGGCAATAGCAAGAAGGAAGGAAGGAAGGAAGGAAGGAAGGAAGGAAGGAAGGAAGGAAGGAAGGAAGGAAGGAAGGAAGGAAGGAAGAAACCACCCTACTGAGGGTTGCAGAATCATTCAGCCTTTAACGTTTCAGATTAGTGACCCTTCCTAGACCCAACTGATGCTTCTTCTTTTTTTTTTTATAAATATAGTTTATTAATTTTTACAATTAAAACCAGTCACAATACATACACAAATAAGCAAAAGAAAGAAAAAGAAAGAAGAGAAAAGAGGAAGAGAGGGAAAGAATTTTGAGAAAAGAAAGAAAAAGAAAGGGGGAAGAAAGAAAGAAAGAGGTTACAAGATAAAAAGTATTCTTATTTTAACAGTTTGCAAGATCTTCTTTTGTTTTCATAACCTTAACTTGTGTCATATAACCACACCTGTTTTTAACTTATATCGCTACCTCGTTATTATGGGTTGATACTTTTCTTTTATGCCTTATGATATATAATTTATCTTTGGTCAATCCAATTATACCAACAATTCCAGCTATCGTAATATAGTGAAGTGTCTTTGTTTTTTAGCGCCAAAGTCAATTTATCCATTTCTGCGCATTTTGAGATTTTTTCAATAATCATTTCTTCTGATGGAATTTGATGTTGTTTCCAGTGTTGAGCGAAGGCTAATCTGGCCGCTGTTAAAATGTGTATTGTTATGTATTTGGCTTTTTTGGAAATTTGCTTATCAAAAATCCCTAGTAGGAAGGACTCTGGTTTGTATTCGAACTGCTCTTTGGTGATTTCTTCCAACCAAGTTTTGATTTTCTTCCAATACTTTTGGGTTTCTGCACAAGACCACCACATATGGAAAAAGGTTCCTTCTTTTTTCCTACACTTCCAGCAATGCGGACTCACGTTGGGGTGCATCTTCGCTAACCTCGAAGGGGGGAGATGCCATCTATAAAACATTTTATAAAGATTTTCCTTGTATGCTGCCGATTTGGTAATCTTATTGTTTCTGCCCCAAACTTCCTCCCATTCCGCTAATGTGATGCTGCGCTCTACGTTCTTACTCCAAGCAATCATATTTCCTTTTACAATTTCTTTTTCTAGTTCTATTTCTAATAAGTAGTTATAAAATTTTGTTATGTTTTTTTTATTTGATCCTAATAAAATTTTATCTAACTGTTGCAGTTTGTTATTAATTCCGAATTCTTTTTTGTCTTGTTTATATCTGCTTTGAATCTGAAGGTAAACCCATTGATCAATTTTATGTCCTTGCTCCTGAAGATCCAGCCTCGGTTTCAAATTTCCTTGTAGGTCTAATAAGTCTTTGTATTTAATCATTTTGGTAAGCTCCAAATTGTTTGGGTGAATCATTGCCTCCATTGTTGAAATCCATACTGGTACTTTTGTATAATGTTTTTTCCTTATTTTCCTCCAAATTGTTAATAGTGCGTCTCTAATTAAATGTCTATGGAAATATTTTTGACTGGTTTTCCCTACGTCCCATAGAAAAGTGTGCCACCCCCTTTGTAAATCGTGGCCTTCTAGAAATAGTATTCTTTTATTGGTTAAATTCACCCAATCCTTCAACCAAACTAACGAGGTGGCCATATGGTATAACTCCCAGTTTGGAAATGCTAACCCTCCCCTGCTCTTCATATCCTGCATTGCTTTTACATTTATTCTGGGTTTTTTCCCTTGCCAAATAAATTTCAGGGTTATTCTATTGAGTTCTTCAAAAAACTTTTAATGTAATTTAATTGGGATCGTTTGGAATAGGTACAAGAATTTAGGGAGAATGTTCATTTTAATAGTAGCAATTTGGCCTAGTATTGAAATTTGAAGTTTCCCCCACGATTCTAAATCTTTCTTTACCTGGTGTATCAGTTTATCATAATTGTTTTCTTTAAGTGTCTTACAGTGTGGGGTTAGCCAAATTCCTAAGTATTTCACTTTCTTTGTCACTTGTATATGCATTATTTCTTCTAGTTCTATTTTCTGTTTTTCTGTTAGGTTTTTGGTCATTAATTTGGTTTTTTTTTTTTTTTTGTTTATTTTAAGTCCAGCTACTGCTCCAAATTTCTCTAATTCACTCATCAATTTTGGTCCCCTGTCTTTTGGTTCTTCGATGAAGAAAATCATGTCGTCCGCAAATGCTTGCAATTTATATTCCTCTTTCTTAACTGTTAATCCCTTTATATCTGAATTCTGCCTAATTCGTGTTAATAATGTCTCTAATGCTAATATGAAGAGCAGGGGAGAGAGCGGGCAACCCTGTCTCACTCCTTTTTCTATATTTATTGGGCGGGTGCATTCCCCATTCACTATTATATTAGCTTGTTGTGTATCATATATAGTTGTTATAATATTTTCAAATTTGGTGCCCAAATTCAAATTATAAATTTTTTGAATTAAAAATTGCCAATTTAGATTGTCGAAAGCTTTCTCTGCGTCTAGGAACATAAGTGCTACTTGTTTCTCGGGGTGAGCTTCGTAAAATTCTAGTACGTCTAATACTATTCTTAAATTGTTCTTTATTTGCCTAGTTGGGAGAAATCCGTTTTGGTCTACATGTATATACAAATTTAAGATCCTTTTTAATCTGTTTCCTATAATAAGTGTGAATATTTTGTAATCAGTATTTAAAAGTGAAATCGGCCTGTAATTATTTATATATCTGGGATCTGTATCCTCCTTCCGGATCAGCGAGATCAATGCCCCCCTCCATGAGTCCGGCATTCTGGCTGCTAGTAAAATGTCATTAAAGACTTCCACCATAAGTGGTCCGATTTGATCTGCTGTTGCCTTGTACAGCTTCCCTGGGATCCCGTCTGGGCCCGGGGTTTTATTATTTTTCTGGCTCTCTATTGCTGATTTCAATTCCGATTCAGTAATGTCTTTATTTAATAGTTCAGCCATTTCTTCCCCAATTGCCTTATTCTTTACTTCATCTAGATAATTCCTTATTCTATCTTCACTGACATCCTCTCTTTTGTATAAATCTTCAAAGAAAGAAAGAGCTAAATCTGACAGATATATGGAGAAGATTACATCCTGAAAAAAGACAATTTACATTTTATTCAAATCCCCACCAAACATGGACACGGATCGATATGGCATGGATGAGTGGGGAAATAGCAAACGAGACAAAAGAAGTGGAAATTTTGCCTAATGAATGGGCAGACCATAATCCAATACAGGTAATATGGAAGGGCAGGGTAAAACCAAAGAAAAGATGGACCTTAAACACTCAATTAATAAGAGAGAAAGAATACATTAATAAATTAAAGGAGGAATTGAATTTTTTTATTAAAGAAAATGATAATGGAGAAACCACGAAACAAAATGTCTGGGATACGATGAAGGCGGTTATAAGAGGCACAACAATCTCTTATAACGCCAAGAGAAACAAGGGAAAATATTTCCAACAAAACAAATTACAATAAAGAATTAAGGAGCTAGAAACCCTTCTACAAAAGAACCCAAAAGAACCCAAACTGCAAAATCAGACAAGTATAGCCAAACACAAACTGAATTTAATTGATCAAGAGAAAATGACTATGAATTTGAACTTAACCAGACAAATCTATTTTGAACATGCCAACAAGCCAGGAAGATGGCTATCTTATAAATTGAAAAAAAAAGAAAGAGAAGAGATTGATATACCAGTTAATAGATAGCAAAGGAGATACATACCAGGAAATAGAACAGAAAAAAGAAATCATTCATACATACTTTGAAGATTTATCCAACTGATGCTTCTTATTGTATCTACAGTACATGAGTTTCAGTCCCAAAGATGCTCCTTCTCCCCAGGAGCCCAACCTTCAATTCTGGATGAATATTTCTGCACCCTTTCACTCTTTGTTCCTCAACATCCTTCTTGCATTGGATTACAAGCTATTGAACCAGATCAGAGCCAAGAACAACAGTTGCAGTTATGCTGCAACAGTCATAAGTGTCAAAAATGGTCATGTCACATTTTTCAGTGCCATTGTAACTTTGAATAGTCACTAAATGAACTGTTGTAAGTCAAGGATTACCTGTACAAAAATACAAAAAGCTTATTTGCTTGCAAAAAGCTACCCTAAATACCAATCATTAGATTAAAAATACCTGCAAGCCGGAGTTACAAATCAGGCAGGGTGCCAGAGCACCTTGAGGAATGAATATAGTTTAAATGCAGTGATAACTATCAAGCAGCCAACTCTTGCTCATAAAGTGAAACCCTTTAGCAGATAGGTCATTTAAGCTCTCCAGAAAAAGCACACCCAGGAAAAGTAATCCTTAGATCCATTTGCACCATTTAAAAATACCAGCTGGTCTCACTCACCTCACAAGATATCCTAAGGAAATCACCCAGATTTAAAGAAAGGTCACATGCCCCCCTCTCCCACAGAAAGGCAGTAAAGAAAATCAGTGCCAAGCTTGCCTCTTGGAAGTATACCCCAAAAGGACAGTTCCAGATAGTATTAAAGCAGTGAAGAAAGACCCCGTCCCCAAATAGAAAAAGAAACCATGAGGCAAGAAAAAATTCAAACACAATACAAATAATTAAATCACAACAGTAGCTGTTGCTTGTTGAAGCTGAATAGGGAAATTATCCCATCAATAAACACAGGATTAAACTTCACCAAGCACAGAATTAAGCTTCGCCAAAAACCAGTTTTAAACCAAAACTCAGAAAGAGTATGTAAACTCACGTTTGAATGTCAATCCTTCTAGCTAGCCAAGAAGCCTTGCTGAATGTCACTCATCTTGGTTCCCTGTCACTAAAAGCTTTGCTTCATTATTCAAAGATTTCTTCAAAGTAATGATTGTCCAGGGAAGTATTTCCTCCCAACCACAGTGTAAAAATCTTAAAACAATCCTTCCCCTTTAAGAAAGTCAAGCCTTACAAGCTCTGGGGGCAGCAAGTCCAGGCTGTCTGCCAAGAATGTAATAAGGGTGGGAAAAAAACAAACTACTGGTTCTCTGAACTGCTTAGAAATTTAACAAAGGATTCTATAGAACCGGTAGAATCCCACCCCTGTATGTATGATGAATGGTCTAGAACTTTGGTCACAATATATAAATGGATCAATGGGAAAATATGTGGCTGAAAGAATTGAAATTTACCTTATGTTCTAACTTAAAGAGAACTTTTCTAAAATGGTGCATCATTGGTATATGTAATCAGAGAATCTGTGTAGAAATTATAAAGGTACTTCAGATTTATGTTGGAAATGTGAACAACATGAAAAGACATTTTATCATGATTGGTGGATATGTGAAAATCTAAAAAAAGTGGAAACAAATACATATACTAATTCAGAAGATCATAAAATTGATGTACCATTGAAACTGGATAATTTTGGGGGGTGATTAATGGACAAATAACTGTAATAAAGTCATGGAACTTTGTTTTTATATATAATTGAAGCAAGATTATTATATACAACAAAAGTGGAAAGATTAAGCACTACCCACAATGAAGAAATGGTTGGTGAAAATCATGATGTCTAAATTATTTCGCAGAGATGACTAAACTGATTTCACTGATTACCAAAAAAGGCAACATGCACATTTATTGCTGATTTGAAACCCTTAATAGACTTCTTGTGTGCAACAGAAAATGGACATAATTTATGGTTTTAGTGATTAGAAAAAAATAGATTTATAGAAAAAGAGGGCAAGGGTGTCACTGGAGAGCAAGAAGTAATTTTATACTTATAATGGCTGCAAAGAAAAAATTAATAAAAATTTAAAATATGGGCACATATGTCATTTATACAGAAAGTTTATGCAGAAAAAGGTTTTTTTGTTATTTTTTGTTGAAATTAATTTCTAAACATGAGAATACAACATTATATTTTATTTACTATATCTGAGGCAATTTGAGATGTTTTCAAAAGCATAGGCAGTTCTTAAAATAGAGAAGATATATTTCACTAAGAGAGTATCTTTGAGACAGATTTTAGAAACACATAATTACAATTTTGCCCAGGGGTGTATGAGTTCATGTTTTATTTTATTTTTTTCATGCATGAAACCCTTATCTATATCTCTAAAGATTTAGTAGACCATGGGGTGCAATTTATGTAATACGCCATTTCATAAAATAGTCATTTCTTTTCCACAAAATATGTTTATCAAGTAGAGTTAGCTATTAATTTAAAAAGCTGCATAAGTTTTGATTAAGAAAGAAAAATGCTGAGCTACATAGTTATGGAGTACATAGATAACATTTAAATGTTTAACAGAAGAAAATAATATATCTTCTACTATAGATTGCACCGTGCTTCAGTCATCATGCTTAATATTAAAATAATTTTTAAAAGTCCCCAAAGGATCTCATTGATGTAAACATTGGTTTTATTTTTACCTACATATACTCAAAATAGCAGTGATTATAATGTAATATTTCCCTTGTTTTGGTGCTATGAAATACTTACTTAAAATAATGGCTGAAGCTATTGTCCAGCTATTGATCAATCTGTTTGTATATGCATTATATTCACAGGGGTCTCCAACCTTGGCAACTTTAAGCCTGGAGGACTTCAACTCCCAGAATGCCCCAGCCAGCTTTGCTGGCTGGGGCATTCTGGGAGTTGAAGTCCTCCAGGCTTAAAGTTG